GCTACTCGACAACAACTTGGAGGGGAGTAATTGCGCGTTATATATTTCCAATGCTGCCGTTGATGGTGGCGGGATCATTGTGAAGGGAAATACGCTGATCACAACGGAGGAGGGTCAGGGTGTGGAATCATCTGTTTGCGTTAATGCTATTGATGTGAGGAACGGCGGCTACTTTGACGTTGAGAACACCACGATGAGTGCTGCTAATGGCGTTATTTTTTTTGGGGATACCACCGTGAGCACCGCGGGGCTGCTGCGAGTGGCGGACTGCACCTTTATTGGCAGCACGAAGGTTTTGACTTCTGCGCTGTCGTATTTGTCTGGCTCGGTGACCCTCGAGGGAGGTGCGCAGTGGCGTGTGGAGGGCAACAGCGTGAGTGCAGCCTCGGTATTAAATATTCCTCATTTTCAGCACAAAATTCAGCTGTCGGGCAGCGGCACCACCGTGGCGCTTGCACACAACCGTCAGGTGGACTCGAGGGTTTCCTTCGCCAAATTTCTCCCATCGAGCATTGTCGTGAAGTTACCCGCGCGGTTTGTGGTTGGGTGCAACCTGCAGGGCGATGAGGAGGTGTCGTACGACGATGTGTTTCCGGAGGGCGTGGTGGTGTTCAGGTGCGGCACATGCAACGACGACGCGGCGTGCTACATGCCCGGGACGGAGTCGGTGGACCGCGGCTCGTTCTCGTGCAGCTGCAAGGACGGATGGCATGGCGCGTCGTGTCTTCCCTTCGAGGTGCCCGACACGGTTTTGCCGCCCGTGGCGGAGAGAGCCGTTGACGGCGACACGAGCTGCGTGGTGAACCAGACGCTGACGAGCCTAGCGCTGGACATGTGGAAGACACACCACTGCTACGTGGGTGTGACGTTCAGCGGCGTGGGTGCCGTGCTGACGTTTTTCCTCGACAGTATGCCGCTGCATCTCCCCATCAACATCACGCTCACTGAGTGCATATTCCGTGAGGGTGCCGCGCTGCAGTTTGTTGGTGGTGCTTCTGCGGCCGAGTCAGCCGGTGTCCTGATCCGCGTGAGCCATACTGTAATGCGGTCTTCCGTTGTTGCTTTTGCACTTGCCCTCCCGCAGCACTGCGACATTGCCGTCACGGAGGTTGACGCGGTGCAGTCCTCCGAGGTCCAGCTGCCACACATTAGGACCAACATGCTGAGCGTATTTTTACTGGTGAACATCATGTTTAGTGCGTCCTCGCTGTTGGTCAGCAACGTCAAGGCTCATTCCTTGAGGTACGGTGCGCTTGGTTTGTACTCGACAGGGACGCTGACGCTGGAGCGTGGCAGCTCGCTGTATGTGCAGTACTGCAGCTTCGCTGGGTACATGCATATGTTTTACGTGAATATCCTCAGTGTGAGTGACCACTCCGTTTTTGCGCTGCTCAACAATACAATGTCCTCCGGGACAAGCCTGCTGTGTCAGCAACAAGAATTGAGCGTGTCAGATCACAGCGTGCTGCGCGTGGTGGGGAACAGCGGCTCCGTGTCCTATGCCATATATTCACTAAGCTTTTTTACCGTCCACCATTCAAGCTGGCTGGATTGGCGCTACAACGACGTGGGAGTGGGTGCGATGTTTCATTACTCCCTAATAACTACTATGAACATCGACGGCAGCAGTGTGGTGACGCTGACGGGCTGCACGATGGGCTCGACGGGGCTGTCGGTACCTCTGCTATCGCAGGCTGACGCCGGCTACCGGTTCGTTGCTGGGTGCCTGACGGTCGCGGGACGGGAGGTGACGACGGCGGCTGAACTGGCGCTGAACGGCATCACCAGCGTGACGACGGTTGCTGCGTGCGGGGAGTGCACGAAGGAGGGCGACTGCTTTGCTCCGCTGACGACGGCGGTCAGCGGCTGCAAGTGCCGGTGC